AGTTAGGTCACTTTTTATTAATGAGGGGATGCACCATGTTGATGAAAAGAAAGAAATGAAAAAAATCTATGATTGATTTGGATATCATTGAAAATTACCTAGCGTTTTCGTAAATACTATGTTGCAAATTCTATTCATGAGTTGACAATCCAAATATAAATACTATGTTTGATTTACCATAGAAATATAATAAGATCTTGTTTGGTCTTTATCAATCTTATCTAATTATATATATTAGAAACGTCGTAAAATTTTTCTTAATCTCTTCTATTAGAATGAGAAAACTTTTGAATTTTTAGTACTACACGTGTCTACTTTTCAACCATTAGGTTCAATCCCAAGCTCGACCACCTTAACTATTGAGTTCACTTAGTCGAGAAGAATGTGTTCTATGCCCTTGTTTTGTGGGCATTTTTTTTTTAAGGAAAATTTTATTTTGAATAATGAACTTTTAGATGATAGGTGGTTAAAAAGTAGGAAAAAAATTTAGATTTATGTGTAGAATATATTTTATTATGTGAATGCGTGGTTGAAAATGAATATGTAGAATTTTTTTTTTTTTTAAAGAATGGAAAATAAACAAGGACTAAGGACATCTCCAAAGGAGACACCAAAACACCAAAATGCACTAAAAAATGGTGCTAAGTGTCTCCAATGTAGTACCAAACTTTGCACCATTTTGCACCAAATGGTGCAAAGTCAATTTTACCCTTTGCTATTATTTTTCAAACAAATTAATTGAGGGTATTTGTGTAATTTGTGTTATATATTTTTTAATAGAATAAATTTTTATCAATATTATAATAATAATTATTGTTGTTGCGCGCATTTATAGTATTTTTAATATTGTAAAACCATTTCTATTTGTTGTTAATCTGAAAAACTCATTTTATTAATTGTAACACAGTATATCGAAGACATTACGGCTCGGGCAGGCCCCCGGCACCCCATATAAAAACTCAATATTAAACTAAAAATGTTGTCCTAAGAGCTTAAGGGTCGAGAGCGACTCATGAGAGGGAATGACTCCACACGAAGAAAAAGAAAAGAGCAAGCTACTGAGAGGGAACGAGTTGGAACCGGAATGGGTAGCAATGAGGTCAAGATTCAAGACTTCTCCTATCAAGTCAATGTTCAAAATGAAAATTGTAAGATATGAACAAACAAAAACAAGTCATAGACAACTGGTAGTCCTTCGAGTTGTTGATTTTCATCCCATTCGACTCGTGCAATCAATACAAGGGGGTTGCAATCTTCACACAACCTGATCAGAGGCGAACCCATATAATTTTGAGTGGGGGCAAGGTAGAAAATAAGCTAAAAAAATTGTGAAAAAAATCTTTTTTGGTTTTTTTTTCAGAGGGGGCAGCTGACCCCGTTGGACCCTTCATGGGTCTGCCCCTGCTTCCGAGAATCCAGGGTTAATTACCCCAACAGTCATTGAACTTTACTGAAAGTTTTCACCAGGTCACTGAATTTTAAAAATTACGTGGTTAGTCACTGAACTTTCAAAACTACAACCATGTCCATCACTGAATATTAAAAATTACCTCAATAGTCAATGAACTTTGCAAAAAGTTTCCCAGATGGTCACTGGATTCAGTGACCATCTGGGAAACTTTTTTGCAAAGTTCATTGATCCTGTAGAAATCTTTTGTAAAGTTCAATAATGAATGTGATAATTTTTAAAGTTCAGTGATGAATGGAGTTGCAATTTCGAAAGTTCGGTGACTAACTACGCAGTTTTTAAAGTTCAGTGACTTGGTGAGAACTTTCGATAAAATTCAGTGACTATTGGAGTAATTAACCCGAGAATCCACCATGATCATAAGTTACAATAATTGAAAATGTTACACGAAACCAACATAACACATAAACCTGATACAAACCATGTCACATTACATTGAAAAATAAATAAATGATTCTGAATGCCAATATGCCGTTTTCATGAGTTAATTGTGTAGACCGAGGTAAAAGCTAACAAATGGTTTCAGCTACATTCGCATGGATTACATTTTCCCCATTTTCCTATGGGCATTTCTTTCTTTTGTTGTTTTATTCTCTTTTTGGTTTGTGGTAAACGGGGTGTCTTCCAATAGCCAATTCATACGGAGTAGGGCTGTCCATGGGTCGGTTCGGTTCGATTCTGAAAAGACCCAAACCGACCCAAAACTTTCGGGTATTTAATAAATGGACCCTTCGGGTCCAAATATAATTATGGAACCGTTCAGGTTCGGTTCCAGTCAGTTTTGTTCCGTACCATAATTAAATTTTTTAATATTTACTACAACACTACGTAAAAACAACTAATGACATTACATTCATAACTTTTACAAATTAACGTAGCCCAATTCAAAAACATATAAATAACTAGCCGTCCAATAAGATTACTTCAATGCATACAAATACCAAAAAGTAGATATTAATATTACAGCAAAACTATATAAAGTATATTCATTTGTTTTAAATTAAAATGGGCTAATGAGTTTTAAAAATGATTTGAGCTTTAAAATTAAAATTATGTAATAATCT